CCGTGTTACACCTGAACCGTTTGTTGTTTGTTGCCTTGGCCGCCTATTTCCTGCCGCCAAGTGGCTTGATTTGGCACAACCCTTGGGCTGTCCCCCCCCCCCCTTCACTGATAGTGGGACTGGGGACCAACTATCGCCAGATTGCACAAAATCCCACGGTTGCCCAAGCGCCTCCCAATAGGCCCCTCCCCAATCACAACAGAGGCAAGTAGGGACAAATGAGCCTATCAGCCAATGGGGCTCCTATTGGGTTCTGTTTTCCTTCCTAAGTTGCATCTTTTCTGGGAAGGGCGTCCCCTCATTGAGGGGGCCTTGACAACCATCGGACATGAGACCTCCCAACATGGCCTCCTGGCCGAGTGGCCCCCTGGCAACTCAGGAGGCGCTGAGCCTTGCCAAGCAGAAGTCCATGGGGGTCCTGTCCAAGACCCAGTCTGCGGTGGCGGAGATCGAGGCGGCCATCGCCCGGAAGCCGCGGCCCTATGGCTTTGAGGATGCGCCTCGGTTGAAGACCGAGGATCCAGGTGCGACCTATTGAGAGATTCCTTAGGGGATCCAGGGTCAAAGTGCTTAATACAACCCATAAACATTGGATCCTCTAGGGGTGGAATGTTTGGGGGGTCATGGGGCCAAAGTACTATGTAGAACCTATGCATGGGATCCTTTGGGGGTGGGGGTGAATTTAGTCTCGTTTCGCCATCCCTCGCGCATCAACGGGACCCGACCCCTGCAACTTTTGGCCGTCCCGAGTTTGTGGGACCCTCGGAGGGGCACTCTGGACTTGTGAGGGTCAACCACTCACAAGCACGGCACGTGAAAGCACCTCATCCTTCTGTGTATCAAAATCACACATATGTCATGTGTACTACCTTCAATGCACCAGCAAATTTCGGCAGCCCTCGACAACCTTTAAAAAAAGCCAAGGTCGCCACAGCTATGTAAGGCACATCTGAAAATATGACTAAGCGTTCATTCCTCAAGATGCCAGTGCTTCGGATGCAAATGCGGTGGGCGTCCTGAGTTCCTTTACTTGGTACTGTTTGTGTTTGGACCATTTCAGCGGCAAAGACAAAGTTATGACTTGTTCTGCTCCATTCTCCGCGGAAGTGAGAGACCGATCTGCATGCCTTCTCACCAGCTGTAGAAACTGAATTTCAGCTAACCCCATGTTTTCACCTCACATCGCTGCGCAACGGGCTGAGGCTTCCGTGCTTCCTTTGCTGGACTTGGTGCAGGGTGCTCAAGAGGCCCCAGCAGAGGATTGGGGCTTGCATCCCTTCTTCGAGCGCTTGCTCAGGCCAGGCAATGTTTTTTTTTTTTTTTTGCTGACCGTCGCCAAGAGAACCTGCCTTACTTTTTGGGATGTGATGGGTTTGCTGAATTCTGAATCCAACTCAATCCAGAAAGTGCAGATGTGTGAGGGTCCTGATTGTGCAAACCCAATCCATGATCAGCTGGTTGCTTGCAGGGAGCAGCGAAGTCCGGGGCAGAAGGTGGGTGTGCCGCTCCTGGTGCCGATCAACCTCTTGGAGATGCCAGCGCCTTGCACGAACCCTCGGGCGATTTCCGGAATCCGCCCCCAAACTGAGAGAAATCGATTGACTCCAAGTTCATGATTCATCTTAGGAGACCATCCCCGACTTGGAAGCGGCTGTGCGCACACTGCGGCTCACAGAGGAGCTTTGTGCGAAGCTCTGCTTCGTGGGATATGAGCGCTGCAAGTTCTCCAGCTTCCTGCGTGTTGCGCTGCTCGGCAAAGGAGAGGGTCACCGGGCTTGGACCAAGGCCCAGACACCTGTGCGGAATTGTGCGGCCATAAGTTTTGCATGCGATTCAGGGCTCTCGTGTGGTCCCGCTTTTTGTGGGATTGCTTTTTTGTTGCTTTCTTTTTTTTTTAGCAAAGAGAAAACAAACACATGAGCAGGCAGAGCCTGAGTTGGTTCTGTATTTAATAAGCACAGCCCTCCGCGGGCTTGAGCGCATGTATTAGTTCTAGAGAATCATTTTTCCTATAACTGCTTTAATGAGCCATTCGCAGTTTCGCCGTATAAAGACTTAAGCTGAGACACGCATGGCTTGATCTTTGAGATGGAACTCCTGTTGCTTTGGATTTTGAGCATCACCCAAAGAAAGAACTTGCTTTGGCAACAACGGGTTGTGTTTACGATTTTGGTGAGGGGATTATTTTTGAAGAGGCTGAGGTGGGGAGATGGTGCTTGTGGAGCGGGGTGGCCAAAAAACTGTATTTGGGCACTGCTCTCCAATAAAGGTTTTGCATGAGATTCAGGGCTCCCGCGCCCCTTTGGGATTGATTCTTGACTTCTTCTTTCTCTGGAACAAGGAGATCAAACAAAAACATGAGGTCTGGGAACTTCTGTAGTTTTGGATTTTGGGCACCACCCAAAGAAAGAACTTGCGTGGCAAGAAAGGTTGGGTTTGAGGAAGGTGGCTGCCCAGGCTGGCAAAGTTGCGAGATGGAAAGGACCTGGCGCTGTGTACCTGGCTCGCACAAAAAGACCCAAATCCCAAGACTTTGTTTAGGACCCATTGATTAGGCAGTTCGAGGCCCCCAAAAAACTTCATTTGGAGACCAAGTACTACTCGTAGGTGAACATCACAGATGTTGCGGTCACTTGCTGGAAGTCAGAAATTCATGCAAGAACCTGCAAAGTTTGTCATATTTATCCCCCCAGAGCAAAAAAAGAACAGAGCCGTGTGGCGGACCCTTGCAAAGCTCGTCGCCCCGAACCCCCCAAATGACCTTTGGATCATGCCGTCGTCATGGCGCATCCTAAGTCGATTGTCCCGACCGTTTGCACATGTTACATGGGGATGATCTCCGGCCAAGAATTCGTTTGATGTGAGGCTGCTGCAGCACGTTTTCACAGAGCTTCTCCCGCTGCCCCTGGGGCCGCTGGCAGAGAAGCCGCCCTTGAGCCTGACCGACCCGGTGTGGGCTCCCAATGGCAACAACGGGCTGCATCCACAACTGACGCGAGGAGGCCGCCTGAAAGTGTGGCTGTGAGTGACCAGAAACCCGTTGACGAGCCGCAGCTCACGGTGCTTGCAAAACAATGACCAAACAAGTGAGAAGCTGAGCTGTCATGCATCGGGCCGCACCATGTCATCCCAAATAATGTTTTTCCCTGGCACCAGTGGAGGCCAGCTGGAGTTGATGCATGTTCTCCTGCGGCTGGCGGAGCACTTCGTGTCGGCGAGCTGCTGCCTGCATGCCTCCAAGGGCTTCGACGGCGTGAAGATCGTGGTCCTGGGCGCCATCGCCGCCATTGCCGACCGGGTGCTCCGCACTCGCACGGTGCTGCCGGGCATCCCGAAGCAGAAGGAGCTGTCATTTTTGCGTGTTTTTCTCAGAGGGGGGGGCGAGTTGGAAAATGTTGTGAAAGATCGCGCGGCAGTTGTGGTCAGCGCAAATTCGGAAGGACGGAGCTGTGGAAGCAGAGGCAGAGCCCCACCCCAGCACCGTCACAGAGCTGCTGAACGGAGAGGGCAGCAAGGGCTGGAAAGCCATGGCGGTGGACCCCACGTCCTTCATGCGCCAGAGCGAGACCATCGAAGCCACTTGGCCGAATCAGTTTGGCGTTTGCCCCAAGCCTCGTGTTGGGTTCGTGTCATCGGCACGCCGGTGTTTTGGACCTGCAATGTCGACAGGCCACCACGCCGGAGATTTCGGTGGCCCGCACTGCGGTTGCCAGCTACTTCGCCGAAGTGAAGAGGTCGCTGGATGTGCCCAGCGGCAAGGATCGCACCCTCTTTGACTGGGACCAGCATGGCTGGATGATGTGGGTGCAAAAGGAGTCAGGCCCGACGTCAGCAAACAACACGAGAAGCGACTGGCATGTTTTGGGCAACCAAGTCCTGCTCACACAATGTGTAATCCATCTCGCGACACCTTAGCTAGTACTGCCAGTCGAGGCTGGGGTGCGGGGTCCACGCAGTTGTGTTGATTTGCCACGATGGTGAGGTTGGGGGTTGCTTTCTAGAGACAGCCGAGTTTGTCTCGATGTTGTGATTGGTTGAGAGGGACAGCCAAAGCAAGCCAACCAACTGGAGGAGTCAAACACCCCCAGCTCGGAGAAACCTGTGAAGAGGTAAGTGTTGCAAGTCGCGAGGCCTCAAGAAGTTCATCCAGGCGCTATGCTCGCAGCATTTGCTGCAGGCAAGAGGCGACTGGGGGCAGCTGGCTGCTGGCTCCGACCCCTACGTGGTGCCTTGCCAAGAAAAGCCACTACAGGTTGTCGTAGTGCGGCTTGTGGATGCAACTGCACCAGGATGGCTGCCACACTGTGCAAACAGAACGCTGTCACTAGGGAGACTGAACCTGTCGGATCCAATCCCCCTGCGGGGGCATCCGTTGCTGCACTTGAGGTCCACACCTGGCCAGAATTTCTGTGCCGCTTGCCTGAAGTATGATGTATCTTTGTTGAGGTTGGCCTTTTTGTTCGGACGCCAAGAGAAAGGCACCCGATTTGGCTTGTTTGAGCGAAACCCGATCAGCGCGATAGAGCGATGGGCAGTGGTCCAAATGGTCGCTGCAAACTGGACCTGCTGCGAACGTGTTTGGGTGAGTATGCGGCGCACTCACGAGCTCGAACTCGCTGAGGCTATCGCGATATCATATTTTACTGGAAGTACTTCCTTTGCACGGATCTCCGAGTTTTTCCAAAGGTGAACGCGCTTCGGCAGAAAGTGCATGATTCCAGCACCTAGCAAGCAGAGTAGTGTCAAGCCCTGCCAACAGCCTGCCAAGGAGTACACACCCCAGAACGCGTACCTCAAATGGAACGTGGTTGATGAGCAGAAGGCATACGGGTGTCCGCCCAACCGAGGCGCGCCTGAGATAATCTGAGATATGCACTCGCCATGTTGGATGTTTTTCTCCAGCCAGGCAAGGTCTTCATGGTCACTGGCATGGGCAAGGACGTCCGCGATTCATTTTGCGGCGATTGGAATGCTATTGCAAAAGCGTGCAGCTAGATCACGTAAAACCTTCCCCCTGCAATGAATGAGTAAACGACGCAGCCCAATGACGATTTGTTCTGAGATCTAGCAAGCATGCTTTAGGATTTGGGAGCCCTGCGGGTAGACAGACCTGCCAGCCCAGACTTTGATATGACCGTTCAACGCAGTCTCAGATTTCGAATCTTAAAGATTGGAAGTGAAGGGTTCAGTATCTTGTATTTGGAACTATTTCTTCGAGGACTGACACGGGAAATCGGAGGGCTCCAAACTTCATGCAGTTCAGTTGCTATCTAGCAGGGCTTGGGTTTGGATAGAAAAACACATGATGCTATTGCTGATATTGTTTTGCCTCCAAGCATCTTGCAAAGAATCCTGAAGAAGGGCCAGCTTTGACATGCGACAGAGTTCGTTGGACTCTGTAAACCATGTGGCTCCAGTTCCTTGCGTTGGAAACGTTCAGCCGAAAATCCAGGCAGTCAGTGACCTTTAACCCCCCGAATCTGGAAGCGGATCTGGGCACCTGTGTCAAAAGCATGCACTGCGGCTCGCCAAAGGGGCGGCGGTTGTTGCCTTTCAAAGGCCCGTGCGAAAGGAGCATTTGTTGAAGCACGATGTGCCGCCACACCGGCCAAAGCCGGCAGCCAGCGGCCTTCGCTGGCCCTCAGCTGCCTGGCTAGAGTTACCTCATGCACTGTGCGCTTCTCTAGGCCCGAGCCTTTGTTTGAGCTATTCAGTGTTTATGAATAGTGGGTCAACTTCATTCTCCCCTTAAAGTCACAACTTGCGGGCGACTTAGGGAGTTGCAAGCTTAAAGGGCCGGTTCAACCATGGCATTAGACACATCGAGAGCGCCTGCACTTCTCTCAGGCAGCGCTGCCCTCGCACCACACCAAAACGGCGGTCAGCCGCCCGGCGAACTTGGCCGAAGAGTCGCGCGAAGGCATCGGCGAACTCGTTTCGATTGTTTTCGTTTCGGCCAACTCTTTTGCCTGAGCTGCTGAAAGGCAATCCTGAATCCTTACCTTTAGATACGAGAATTGGTCTTTTCTATAATCGTTTTTCCTGGGATTTTGGTCAAGATATTGGACAGTCGGATTGGCCACTCCAGTTTGAACGGCCCAACTCTTTGGGACTTTCGCCGAGGAACTGAAGACGACCTGCTGTACATGCGCACGCTGCCCACCTTCAATGAAATGTTGCGGCCGTCAGATTCGGAGGCCCGGACCGAGTCAGAAAGTGGAGCATCCTGTCCCCCAAATGAATAGATCCATGTAAGTTGCTCCCCTTCCACCTGCTTGATACTGAGATCCGCGTGTGTGCATTTTTGAACATATTTCAACATGGTTCATATACAAGAGATTGTGGCGTTTCAAAACTGTTCTGTATAGCTTAGAGTTGTGTTTGGATACTGGGTTGCGAAATTGTTAGCGCTGACTTGGAGTGGAGTTAGTGCTGTTGCGGACGATGCTTGTTTGATCATTCCTGGATTCCTGACGCCTCTTTGCCAAATCTGTTGGCCTGAAAGGCCCTGCTCTCCTTCCTGACGGTCCCCTACATCAGGCCGGCGGCTAGCGATCCGTTCCACGGAAACGGGAGGTGAGTTCAGTTTGGGAAGGGGAAGGTGGGAATTGGATGAGTGTGTAGGGCGTAAGTCAAGTCTCGGGGGGCGGGGGGGGACGGCCTACAATTCTTTCAGGTGGCTGACAAGCATTGCATCACGAGCTTTGGCTCGTTCTTGCCGAAAGGATGCCGCTGGTGCTGGCGTTTTTCACCACCGGGGACAGGGTCAACAGCCTCTTCGACCGCGGACTGCAAGAGATTCTGGAGGCGCGTACGGCAGTTGGTTCCTTGAAGGAGTCCAACCTGCAGCAAGCACAGGACCCTTCTCAGCACAGGAGTTGGTAGGTGGTGAGTCATGTGTATCCCAATATGTTTAGGGTTTCCATCCCACCTGGTGCACAATCAATTTTGTCCGTCCATGGGAGAGCTATGAGCGAGGCAGTGGTGCTGGAGCCGGGCAAGCTCTTGGAGCCCATGCACTGGTCCGTCGCACCTGAGCCTTGGCCAAAGGGCCAAAGCCCGTTGGAGTCCACCGAAGTTGGGTTACTTTGGCTCCCCTCCATGACTCCATGGTTAGCCCAAAGCGGGCTCCCCTGTACCAGAGTCACTGGGCGATAGGAAGCTCCTTCGCACGGCCCAGGGCCCCCCAAGCCACATGGCGGGGGCAACTGGTGGCATGTGACATTGGTGCAGACAAATGCGCTGGCTGTTTCCCTCGGTGGCTTGGGGGTAGGCGGCACGCGAAGAAGCGCTTGCTGGTGTCTGTTGGGGCTGTTGGTTGGGAAATCGACGGAAATCGGCACCCAGGAAAACGTGCCTGCCAACTCCTCAGCCGAGCAAGAGCTAGTAGCCTCCCCCTACGGCCAGCTGCTCACAGATGCCTGGCAGCACACGGTGAGCAAATAGAAACACTGAAGCGCATCCTGACTGAACGATTGTGGGCGCATGGAACCAGAGTATCCCGAAGTGCTAGTGATCAATGCTTCGCACGTTGCCCCGAGTCACTGAGGGCCTGAGTCACTGGGAGCAGTTCCGAGTTGCCATGTAAAGTGGCCAGTTGTGGGCATTGTTTTTGGGCAAATGTGGATTGGACGGCAAAGGAGCTGTCCTGTGCTCCTGGGTGTCTTCTCGCCTACTTGGCGAAGCTTCTGGAGTTGGCCTTGGTGCTGGCAAACTCGGCACCTGGTGCTGCAAGTAGGGGGCATACAAAGTCTGTCAAGTCATGTCCCCGGCCTGTTCTGGCATGCTGCGCTGAGCGGCTGACCCCATGCGCCCTAAGATTCAGGCGAAATGGGTGGACATTGTGGAAATTGAGCGTGGCGGAATGCAAGTGCCGGCGCGAACGGGCAGTTGAAATGTGACGCACTCCAAGGCCATGAGCCAAACTGTGGGCACCATCCTGTTTGTGCTTCGTGTAGCAGCTCGCGTGGAGTCTTCTGCGGTCTACTTGCTGCAGCACTCCGAGGGAATCTCGTCAAGCAAGAGCTTTGCACCTGCTGCACCCCCCCCCCAAAGCATCCCTGCCCAGTTCTGTCCATCGCTGGACCCCCTAAGTCGCAGTCTTTAAGTTGAATGTGCTTGCCGAACCAAACCCAGCCTTGGCGCCTGGGAGCCCCAAGGCAAGCTGCCGGCCACGGGGCCCCGGCCTGGGGCGCTGCCCTGCAGTGCCGCGTCCCTGGCGGAGCTGCGCGCAGGGCGCCAGAGGCTGCGGGCCATCTTCCAGGAAGCGGAGGCCCGTGGACTCGAAAACTCGGGCGGGGAATCGGAAGCTGGGAGGGTGGCGTGGCTCAACTTGAGGCGAAGATTGCAGGTAGCAAGGCGTGGGAGAAGAAAGGGGCACGAGCAGTGGAGCTTCTGAAAGCGAGATCGCAGCTTCGGTGAGCCAGCCCCGTCAGCCTTTGCCTTCTGGCACACAACACGTTCCTGACATCCAGACGAGTGGGTAGACCGCTTGCAGCCATTTAATTTGGGCACTCGGGCTTGGAAGGCTGCACTAGCAGACAAGCGATGACTCGAGGACAGGACACAATGGCCTCACGAAACATATCGGAACCTCATCATTCACAGCGTAGTAGCTGACCCTCGTGACTACTGAAGCAAACAGTGCAGCGCTCTTTGTGTGGCAGTGTTTCCCTAATATGTCAACCCTGGATTAATCAACCTGGTGGATTCACGTGGGGGAAATCAACCTGGTGGATTCATGTGGGGTGGGGGAGGTTCCCCCAAAAGTGGGGGAGCTCCTTGTTTGTTGGGACCCCCCCCGGTGTTCAAGCAGTGGTTATGAATCCTGGGTTCATCTGGGTTCCCATTGCCGCAGCCCTGCCTCGCAAGGGCTGGCTGGACGCCTGGCTGGAGGAGCTGCATGGCCTGGCCCGGAAAGCAGCGGCTGCAGCAGCAGGCGGGGACTCTCAGCGCTGACGTCTTGAGCTTCCATTTTTGCGGCGCAGCAACCCGCAACGAGCAGAGCACCAGCCAAAATTCCGGTCGCCCAAGCTGGTGCGTATGAGCTGCGTATCGTCAGTCAGGCGGAGAGGACGGCAAGCCTACAGGCAAGCAGATGGGCTGGGCTGCGCTTCTGCGCGTTGCTGTTTTGCCTCCGATTTGTGTGGGCAGTTGTGTTCAATGCACCTCAGCGAGCTCAGTTGACTGATAGAAGGTCGAGGCTGATTCTCATGTTATCAGCGTGATGCGTTCTTGCTTGGCCAGGATTTGGCCTTGGTCCACAGTCGAAGTCAAGCGCCCAGCAAAGCCTAGACAAGTACATGAAGACGTGCTGCAACATTCATGCTCACCTCCTGGTCTTGCTTCGGAACGTGCCTGGGCCTTCAGCTTTTGTATGGTTTGTGCATGTCACAGCTGGCTTCATCATGAACGGGCAGGGTAGGGTAGCCTGGGGTTCCAGCTGGCAAAGACGGACAGGCATCAGAAACCTGCTTCAATTCAGCTTTAGAATTGAAGCACTTTCCCGCTCAGTAGCCTAGGCATGCAGCTGGTGCGCTTGTGGGAAAACCATCCGGGCATTGGTTTTGTGCATGTTGAGGTGCCTGAAGAGGAACTGGATGAGAGGGCAGTGAGCCGGATTCTGTCATCGTTTTCTTTCCTGTCGCTTCACCACACCTTCAATCAGGCCGGGACACGCAGGGCTTAGTAAACAACAAACGTCAAGGCCAGAAGGCATCATGCATCATCTATGGTCCAGGGGGCTAGCAGTTTTTTTTTTGCTATTGCGCCTCTTGCGAATCGGGAGCATGCTTGATGCTGGCAGAACTTCTTGGACATCCCTGAGACGGAGCTGTTCGAAGTATTCCAGCATCACAGGCGCGAATGGTTGAGAGAGAGGGAGCAGGCCTCCATGTCAAGAAGCAAGCCATGAGTGGGTGCTTGGGTGCTAGTTCCATGAAACTGCCCAGATGGGAACTTGGAACAGTCACCGCTTGCCATGTTTGGACATTGTGCATGAGTGGGCAGACTGCTGGCAGACCGCTTGAATTGGTTGAAACGCTGACATGAACCCCCTTGATCAAGCAACAGTCATCGGCCAAAGGGGATCTGAGGAGGGTCTTATTCCACATCAAGCCTTGGGCGGCGTGTGAGGCAGCATCATGGTGAACCTGTGTACACCAACGCATACCAACGCATTATCAGGCGTGGCTTGGTGCGATGGTTCGAGAAGCAGCGAAAGAACAAGGAGTACGCTCGCTTCAACCGCGTGCTGCAGGAGGTTCACGAGCAGCTGCCGGGCGAAAGAGGGCTAAACAAGGCTGCCTTTTCCTTGTGCGTTGGGGGGGGGTTGTGTTGGTTTGAGTTACTTTCTTGTTTGTGGTCATGGGCCCTTCAATGCAAAGTGGTAGTTATCACTTTTCAATTTTCCGCTACAGACGTCATGTTTTCATGCTAGCCAATGTGCAAGCATACATTCCACGGATGTGCGGCAAATGGTGCGCAATCCTGGGAGTCCCCAGCACTCCATGGCTCTGACACAGGTTCTCGACGATCGACTCCTCGAGCGCTGTGGACACAGCCCTCTTCGAATGGGGGGTGGTGAAAGGTGATGCTCGCAACGCAGGACGCTATGCGCCTTGTCCTTGCCATCCCTTGCCAATTAAGTACATGTTCTGAGAGCTTCCAGGGGCTGATGGCTGGATGCTTGATGTCATGTGGCATTTGCTTTGCACCAGTCAAACTGCAGCTTCACGTGCAGAGCAGATGAAAAAGCGCATCTTTTGAAAGCCCAAGGCGATCATCGGTCCTAAGCGGTCTACCGCTGAGCGGGGGGACGTTGCAACCACTGCCAGCAGTGATCTCAGGATGGTATCCGTTCATGCTTGTTGTCTCCGCTTGTTGCATCACTGCAGCGCACCTTATGAGCATTGGATTGCACTTGCGGCTTGCTTTGGGCATGTTGGCTTGCGCAGCTCAGGCAACGACAACGCGTGGATTGAGCTCAACATTCAGCTACTGCAGGCCTCAGCTGCTTTTGGTCCATTGCTGTCTCTGCATGGTGTCTGTTTCCTTTTCAATTGGCTTTATCAGACCTTTGCTGCATCAGGTGACAGTACGTGGCCGCCATGTGACTCCTTTGGAGACCGACACCTGTGACGACGAAGACTTCAAAGAGGCCGACTGAGTCCATGAAACCTTTCGCAGTGGTTAAGTGCTCAAAAAGCACCGCTGCTTGATTTTATTCGTGGGCCTAGAGTACTGTATTTGATGTTGTTGCCCATGCATTGCTTGCACCTTGCTGCCAGCAGGTGTTGAATCATGGAGCGGGCCGCAAGGCCAGTGGGCGCTGCCTTCTTGCACAGCATCCCAAGAGAATTCCCAAAGCGCATGACGCATGACTTATTTTCGTGCTCCGCGCGCCGGCCTCGCATGTCCGCCGCGCGGGCTGGATGGATGGACGCGATGGATGGCGGATAAGAGGGAGAGAGGGAGGGAGAGATGGATGGATGGATGGATGGATGGAAGGGATGCGGTGGGCGGGTGGATGGGTGGATGGATGGGTCATGGGTCCGTGGGATGCAATGATACATGGGATGGAGGAATGGATGGGATGGCGCACACGCACACACACACACCACACAGCCACCACACAGCCACCTACCCAACAACACACACACACACACACACACACACACACACACACACACACACACACACACACACACACACACACACACACACACACACACACACACACACACACACACACACACACACACACACACACACACACACACACACACACACACACACACACACACACACACAACACAACACAACACACACAACACACACAACACAACACACACACAACACAACACAACACAACACAACACACACACAACACAACACACACACAACACAACACACACACAACACACACAACACACACAACACACACAACAACACAACACACACACAACACAACACAAAACAACACAACACAACACACAACACAACACAACACAACACAACACAACACAACACAACACAACACAACACAACACAACACAACACAACACAACACAACACAACACAACACAACACAACACAACACAACACAACACAACACAACACAACACACACAACAACACAACAGCAACACATAACACAACATACATACCACAACACAACACACAACACACACATAACAACACAACACAACACAACACAACACAACACAACACATAAACACAACACAACACAACACAACACAACACAACACAACACAACACAACACACCACAAAACAACACAACACAACACAACACAACACAACACAACACAACACAACACAACACAACACAACACAACACAACACAACACAACACAACACAACACAACACAACACAACACAACACAACACTACACAACACAACACAACACAACACAACACAACACAACACAACACAACACAACACAACACAACACAACACAACACAACACAACACAACACAA